AAATTTAAATCAGGTCTCATGGCTCAAGATTTTTAACAAGGTTTTATTTTAGGATAAATATCATAGTTGGTCATTAATTTTTTTTTTTTTTAATTTGGTTCTTAAATCTTCAATTGTTTGAATTTAATCTCTCAACTATCAATTCTGTCTATTTTCACTGTTAGATCAAAATTAAAATATATGATTTAATGCTTAAAATAAATTAAATTGACTAATTTTTGGTAGACGTAACGGTAAAAATTAATTAAAAAAACTTAACTAAAATAAAATTAATAATTGAGAGATGAAATTAAAATAATTAAAAAAATTAAAGAATCAAAATAAAAACAAAAATAAAATTTAGGAACAAATTATAATATTTACTCAAGAGGCCCAATTTAAAATAGTGAAAATTGTTGAAAATTATAAATTTTGTATCTAATTTGTAAATAAGTAGGCCACACAAAAAAGTCCAGTAGGCCACCCATGGCCTGGAAGCCTAACGGGCCACCTAGCCCATACACGTGGCAAGACTTAGATAGCCCGTTAGCCCAGCGAGTAGGACTTGAACTGTGTTTTTTAGGGTCGAGGACTTGATGGCCGGGCCGTTAGCCTAATAGAATATACTCATTAGAATATAATTTAGATTATATTTCATAATTGTTTTATTTATTTGATACTTGATCTGTAACTTTTATATGGTCGAGACTTGTAAATGATTGACAATTATGTAAGTGTCAATTTAGTTGGGATGTATTCTATTTGTAGTGATGCAAAATAATCTCACTTATCAATTAATTTGTAATGTAACATTGTAATTCTATATGAATATTTGTTAAATTCAATCAATATGAATAAATTTTTTGTTAATTTATATTTTTATACTAATTTTATGTAATTGATATCTTTTTCCAACGTATTTAGCCCATTTTGGGCCCAATAGAGGGGCCCACGATGGGGTATGGACCTTAAAAATTCCTAACAGGGGCCTGGCCAGTTGATTAGTCAAAGCCCAGAGGCCAAGGCCACAGGCAGTAAAATCTTAAGTTGGGCTGGCCCGATCTGGCCTGTTGTCGAGCCCTCTAATTAAGTCCAAGTATGTATTTTTTAAAGAGCGAGAAACTAATTTTTCTCTTTTTTTAAACGATAATATTATCCCTTGTATCTTACACTTTATCCAATAAAAACTAAACGAAATTAATTGTCTTACTCATGGGTAAATCCAACTCTTATTCAATGGAAATTCATCACTACCACCCATAACGCCACCAACAATAAACAAAAAAATAATAAATTAAAAGAAGATGAACTAAAAAATTCAACTCTCCTTCTATTCATAATATATAACAAAACATATTGACGGTGTTAGTGGTGGATTGTTTTTTATTTTGTGCGTTGGGCTGGGTTGGGTCGGGTTGTAATAGTGAGATATGATAAAAAAATAAAATAAAATAACCTCCGTCGTTAACGAGAACAACGGCCACAAATTTGAAGACAAAGCATGGTAATGGTGGCAGTATGTAGACGACAAGAAAAAAAGATAAAAAAACAGTGGATAATGGAAAGGCAGATATTCTACAGCCTTCTCAGACATTCTAATTAGGGTTTTAGGGTATATTCTCTCTCCCTTACTGTACTAAAATGGCTATATCTTCTCTCTACCCATTCAATTCCATACTTCACTCTCACTCTTCTCAATCTCTATATCTCTGTCATTCCCTCTTCCAATCCTATGGAGACTCACTCTCAAGCAGTCACAGCTTTTTCCAACCAAGAACCCTCAAACGTAGCAGTAGTACTAGTACCACAAGGATCTTTGTTATATCGTCGCACTCCAACCACAAGATTCTCAAATCGAATCGCAGGTCAAGGTATGGTCAGACAATGTCCCCTTACGATAGCGAAGACGACGACAGTGTTGGCATTGGTGATGAGGAAGATGAAGATGACTCAGAGGATGATTGGCTNAGGTTTTGCTACCCGTTACCTTAAAATCATTCCTCTTGGTGCCTGTAGCAGCTTCCAGTTACTTTTGCTAGTGCTTAAGGTCTGACTTTGTATCGTTTGTGCAAATTCCCAGCTATTATAAGAAGATAATCACTGTTCTAGACATTGGTACAAAAATATCATCAAGGGCATCAATTTTCTACCTAAAAACCATAAGATGCTGTGAAGCATTTCCTTAATACGTGGCATCCCTCTTGAAGGACAGTGTCTTCACACGAAAACTTGCCCTGCCCTATTGAATGCAGGAACAATTAATCAAAGATTATCATACCAGGGACTTTTAACTTCATAGATTACTTACAAAAAATCTCAAAACATGTTTGTAGTTTTGAATTGCTTCACATTCTTCAGTTGTCTCATTTTTTAGGCCTTAACTTACAGTTTTTGATTTGTAGATCTTTCAAGTGGTTGATCATAAGGGAAGAAGTCTCCATTACTCTACTGGATAATATAAACCCCATTATCAATATTCTTAACAAAAACACAAACCAAATGCACATATTGAAACTCAAAAAAGTACACAAATATAACTCAATGAAATAGCTTGCAGATTTAACACCAAAGAAGAAACCTCATCCTACCCCATCTGAAAATTGCATAACTTATGCACTCTAAAAATGAAAGTCTCTAATATAAAAAACGATTGGAAAAACACTGTAATCACCAATAGCTTCACCACATGTTAGCTGAGCAAGCGTTCAGTCATTTGGAGCAGTTGCAATCCCCTTGAATACAAGAAAGGTAAGTGAAAGATATTTGACTAATATGAGTAAACGACATTACCTAACAGAAAACACAGCCACCTGACAGTTCATGTTCCAATTATATGAGGTGGAAGAAGATAAGCTAATTAACATAGTTGTTACTTCAGTTGGATCAGCTCAGTCTAACAATGGGAGCCAGGTTCAAGTAACACTGTAACAGCAAAAGGCCCTGTACTCAAGAAACCACACAGAATACTTATACAACCCAATGCAGCATAGAAAATTGCATTTAGATTTTGAAAAAAGTGCATCATCCCACAATTGCACTGAGATTCGGAGAGAGTAAATAAGGAATAAAAACTTCATCAAGCACATTTAGGCAATGATTATCTCAGCCCCTGATCATATTGCAAATTCAGGATACAACAGCAAAACAAACAACAAATATGATTATTAATGATTTATGGTCGGGGCCGACCATAAATCAGTGCGCTACCGAGTTGCCAACAAATCGTGACTGGACAGGCTGAACTTGGGTAGGTGGACCAGGGCTAGACCTGTGGTTCGGTGGCCCACCTACGAGGGGCTTTTATGGAGCCCTAGATTTTTTGGGGTGTGGGCCTAATGGGTCCACTTTCCAATTTAACAAACTTTTTTTCTTAGTTAAACGAGTGGAATAAAATCCTAAGAAAATTTAAATCAGGTCTCATGGCTCAAGATTTTTAACAAGGTTTTATTTTAGGATAAATATCATAGTTGGTCATTAATTTTTTTTTTTTTTAATTTGGTTCTTAAATCTTCAATTGTTTGAATTTAATCTCTCAACTATCAATTCTGTCTATTTTCACTGTTAGATCAAAATTAAAATATATGATTTAATGCTTAAAATAAATTAAATTGACTAATTTTTGGTAGACGTAACGGTAAAAATTAATTAAAAAAACTTAACTAAAATAAAATTAATAATTGAGAGATGAAATTAAAATAATTAAAAAAATTAAAGAATCAAAATAAAAACAAAAATAAAATTTAGGAACAAATTATAATATTTACTCAAGAGGCCCAATTTAAAATAGTGAAAATTGTTGAAAATTATAAATTTTGTATCTAATTTGTAAATAAGTAGGCCACACAAAAAAGTCCAGTAGGCCACCCATGGCCTGGAAGCCTAACGGGCCACCTAGCCCATACACGTGGCAAGACTTAGATAGCCCGTTAGCCCAGCGAGTAGGACTTGAACTGTGTTTTTTAGGGTCGAGGACTTGATGGCCGGGCCGTTAGCCTAATAGAATATACTCATTAGAATATAATTTAGATTATATTTCATAATTGTTTTATTTATTTGATACTTGATCTGTAACTTTTATATGGTCGAGACTTGTAAATGATTGACAATTATGTAAGTGTCAATTTAGTTGGGATGTATTCTATTTGTAGTGATGCAAAATAATCTCACTTATCAATTAATTTGTAATGTAACATTGTAATTCTATATGAATATTTGTTAAATTCAATCAATATGAATAAATTTTTTGTTAATTTATATTTTTATACTAATTTTATGTAATTGATATCTTTTTCCAACGTATTTAGCCCATTTTGGGCCCAATAGAGGGGCCCACGATGGGGTATGGACCTTAAAAATTCCTAACAGGGGCCTGGCCAGTTGATTAGTCAAAGCCCAGAGGCCAAGGCCACAGGCAGTAAAATCTTAAGTTGGGCTGGCCCGATCTGGCCTGTTGTCGAGCCCTCTAATTAAGTCCAAGTATGTATTTTTTAAAGAGCGAGAAACTAATTTTTCTCTTTTTTTAAACGATAATATTATCCCTTGTATCTTACACTTTATCCAATAAAAACTAAACGAAATTAATTGTCTTACTCATGGGTAAATCCAACTCTTATTCAATGGAAATTCATCACTACCACCCATAACGCCACCAACAATAAACAAAAAAATAATAAATTAAAAGAAGATGAACTAAAAAATTCAACTCTCCTTCTATTCATAATATATAACAAAACATATTGACGGTGTTAGTGGTGGATTGTTTTTTATTTTGTGCGTTGGGCTGGGTTGGGTCGGGTTGTAATAGTGAGATATGATAAAAAAATAAAATAAAATAACCTCCGTCGTTAACGAGAACAACGGCCACAAATTTGAAGACAAAGCATGGTAATGGTGGCAGTATGTAGACGACAAGAAAAAAAGATAAAAAAACAGTGGATAATGGAAAGGCAGATATTCTACAGCCTTCTCAGACATTCTAATTAGGGTTTTAGGGTATATTCTCTCTCCCTTACTGTACTAAAATGGCTATATCTTCTCTCTACCCATTCAATTCCATACTTCACTCTCACTCTTCTCAATCTCTATATCTCTGTCATTCCCTCTTCCAATCCTATGGAGACTCACTCTCAAGCAGTCACAGCTTTTTCCAACCAAGAACCCTCAAACGTAGCAGTAGTACTAGTACCACAAGGATCTTTGTTATATCGTCGCACTCCAACCACAAGATTCTCAAATCGAATCGCAGGTCAAGGTATGGTCAGACAATGTCCCCTTACGATAGCGAAGACGACGACAGTGTTGGCATTGGTGATGAGGAAGATGAAGATGACTCAGAGGATGATTGGCTCTCTGATGTGAGAAGTATTTTCTTTATTTCTATGCTTACTATTGGCTGTCTTTGTCCTCATTTCCTGCTTTTGATAGAGATTTTTGGCCTATATCTCCAGATTACTGTAGTTTAGCTTCTTGAATTGGTCTAAATTATCGCTTTTTTTCAACTTTGAATCACACATAGCTATGCCTTTCTTGTTCCTTGGATTTGGATGATTAAAGATGTTCAAGTGCTTTTGTGAGATCATACAAAGGTTCAATAGGATATGTCAGAGTCCATGGAACTAGAGCAATAGGTTTCATTAGTAAACTAATGAGTGCTTGTGCTTGTTTAAAAAAGAAAAATGAGTAAGATTCTCACTCTGAAAGAATGTTCTCGTAATTATCCCCACAACTAATTATCATTCCGGAGTTTTACTGTCTCATTCTTCCTTGCCCGTTGCCAGATTCAGATTTCCAGTTTCAGGCTACTTATCTGTTTCATTTTCTTTGTCATTTTTTGTCCTTGTGGCTTGAAGTTCAAAAGTTTCATTGCATCTTTATGTTTGTGGAATTTGGCTTTTAGATATTGCAATTGACACTCTGATATTATATCCATAATAATGAAACTTTGCGGATGAACAAGTCATCAATTGAAATTCCAAGTCACACACATAAGCAGAGGAGGTGCGGTACTGTTATCTGGCAGCAACAGAGCTAAGCAGTATTCAATGACACAACTATATGTACCCCTCCACCCCACCCTACCCCATTGCCTTGTATGAACAAGGTTAACATTATGAGACAGGCGAGCACATTCATCGCTGCCACCATCATCGCTAAAGGAAAGTCACTTCTTGTTTCTCCATGGTAGGGCATGTTTACGCAAATGAACNCGTACCCCTCCACCCCACCCTACCCCATTGCCTTGTATGAACAAGGTTAACATTATGAGACAGGCGAGCACATTCATTGCTGCCACCATCATTGCTAAAGGAAAGTCACTTCTTGTTTCTCCATGGTAGGGCATGTTTACGCAAATGAACNTTTTTTTTTTTTTTGGTTCTTAAATCTTCAATTGTTTGAATTTAATCCCTCAACTATCAATTCTGTCTATTTTCACTGTTAGATCAAAATTAAAATATATGATTTAATACTTAAAATAAATTAAATTGACTAATTTTTGGTAGACGTAATGGTAAAAATTAATTAAAAAAACTTAACTAAAATAAAATTAATAATTGAGAGATGAAATTAAAATAATTAAAAAAAATTAAAGAATCAAAATAAAAACAAAAATAAAATTTAGGGACAAATTATAATATTTACTCAAGAGGCCCAATTTAAAATAGTGAAAATTGTTGAAAATTATAAATTTTGTATCTAATTTGTAAATAAGTAGGCCACACAAAAAAGTCCAGTAGGCCACCCATGGCCTGGAAGCCTAACGGGCCACCTAGCCCATACACGTGGCAAGACTTAGATAGCCCGTTAGCCCAGCGAGTAGGACTTGAACTGTGTTTTTTAGGGTCGAGGACTTGATGGCCGGGCCGTTAGCCTAATAGAATATACTCATTAGAATATAATTTAGATTATATTTCATAATTGTATTATTTATTTGATACTTGATCTGTAACTTTTATATGGTCGAGACTTGTAAATGATTGACAATTATGTAAGTGTCAATTTAGTTGGGATGTATTCTATTTGTAGTGATGCAAAATAATCTCACTTATCAATTAATTTGTAATGTAACATTGTAATTCTATATGAATATTTGTTAAATTCAATCAATATGAATAAATTTTTTGTTAATTTATATTTTTATACTAATTTTATGTAATTGATATCTTTTTCCAACGTATTTAGCCCATTTTGGGCCCAATGGGGCGGCCCACGATGGGGTATGGACCTTAAAAATTCCTAACAGGGGCCTGGCCAGTTGATTAGTCAAAGCCCAGAGGCCAAGGCCACAGGCAGTAAAATCTTAAGTTGGGCTGGCCCGATCTGGCCTGTTGTCGAGCCCTCTAATTAAGTCCAAGTATGTATTTTTTAAAGAGCGAGAAACTAATTTTTCTCTTTTTTTAAACGATAATATTATCCCTTGTATCTTACACTTTATCCAATAAAAACTAAACGAAATTAATTGTCTTACTCATGGGTAAATCCAACTCTTATTCAATGGAAATTCATCACTACCACCCATAACGCCACCAACAATAAACAAAAAAATAATAAATTAAAAGAAGATGAACTAAAAAATTCAACTCTCCTTCCATTCATAATATATAACAAAACATATTGACGGTGTTAGTGGTGGATTGTTTTTTATTTTGTGCGTTGGGTTGGGTTGGGTCGGGTGTGGTCGGGTTGTAATAGTGAGATATGATAAAAAAATAAAATAAAATAACCTCCGTCGTTAGCGAGAACAACGGCCACAAATTTGAAGACAAAGCATGGTAATGGTGGCAGTATGTAGACGACAAGAAAAAAAGATAAAAGAACAGTGGATAATGGAAAGGCAGATATTCTACAGCCTTCTCAGACATTCTAATTAGGGTTTTAGGGTATATTCTCTCTCCCTTACTGTACTAAAATGGCTATATCTTCTCTCTACCCATTCAATTCCATACTTCACTCTCACTCTTCTCAATCTCTATATCTCTGTCATTCCCTCTTCCAATCCTATGGAGACTCACTCTCAAGCAGTCACAGCTTTTTCCAACCAAGAACCCTCAAACGTAGCAGTAGTACTAGTACCACAAGGATCTTTGTTATATCGTCGCACTCCAACCACAAGATTCTCAAATCGAATCGCAGGTCAAGGTATGGTCAGACAATGTCCCCTTACGATAGCGAAGACGACGACAGTGTTGGCATTGGTGATGAGGAAGATGAAGATGACTCAGAGGATGATTGGCTCTCTGATGTGAGAAGTATTTTCTTTATTTCTATGCTTACTATTGGCTGTCTTTGTCCTCATTTCCTGCTTTTGATAGAGATTTTTGGCCTATATCTCCAGATTACTGTAGTTTAGCTTCTTGAATTGGTCTAAATTATCGCTTTTTTTCAACTTTGAATCACACATAGCTATGCCTTTCTTGTTCCTTGGATTTGGATGATTAAAGATGTTCAAGTGCTTTTGTGAGATCATACAAAGGTTCAATAGGATATGTCAGAGTCCATGGAACTAGAGCAATAGGTTTCATTAGTAAACTAATGAGTGCTTGTGCTTGTTTAAAAAAGAAAAATGAGTAAGATTCTCACTCTGAAAGAATGTTCTCGTAATTATCCCCACAACTAATTATCATTCCGGAGTTTTACTGTCTCATTCTTCCTTGCCCGTTGCCAGATTCAGATTTCCAGTTTCAGGCTACTTATCTGTTTCATTTTCTTTGTCATTTTTTGTCCTTGTGGCTTGAAGTTCTAAAGTTTCATTGCATCTTTATGTTTGTGGAATTTGGCTTTTAGATATTGCAATTGACACTCTGATATTATATCCATAATAATGAAACTTTGCGGATGAACAAGTCATCAATTGAAATTCCAAGTCACACACATAAGCAGAGGAGGTGCGGTACTGTTATCTGGCAGCAACAGAGCTAAGCAGTATTCAATGACACAACTATATGTACCCCTCCACCCCACCCTACCCCATTGCCTTGTATGAACAAGGTTAACATTATGAGACAGGCGAGCACATTCATCGCTGCCACCATCATTGCTAAAGGAAAGTCACTTCTTGTTTCTCCATGGTAGGGCATGTTTACGCAAATGAACATATTAGCTTAGAAGGGAGTAATACGATCTGTACTTCTGGATATTTCCCTTGTCTTAGGTGTGAGTATTGCTGTGTTCTTTACTAGAAAGCACCGATGTTGTGGCTTTATACACAAAGGAATTCAAAATTTGGCCCATTTATCTTTTGTTCCCCACAATCTATTTACTTGAATTCCACTGTTGGTAGGTTAACAGGTGTTTTTGTTCTGTGAGTATTGCTGTGTTTTTGAATTCCATTGTTACTTGAATAATGCTCAACTTATAATACTTCTGTCTTTCATGGTCAAAATCTCCCTTTTTAACTGTACGATGTTATTCCAGGACGATTATGCAGAAATAGAAGATTCTGATGCTCATAGTCAGAGATTTAAGTCACAGGACACAAAACAAGGTATGCCTTTTGGATTATTACAGATTTTTCGGAGGGGTATTGACTGGAGAGTTACCTATTTGTGCAGGCAGTCACAGCCATTTAGAAAGAGAATTGGATGTAAGATCATCAAAATCTGAGAAAATTAATGGCAAGAACACCTTATCAAAGAGAAATAGTGGCAGTTTCTACGGCGTGTCAAGTAAACCAGTAAATGTTGGTAACATAGGTGCAGATGTAAGAAAAAAGGTACTATTTGGTGTCACTCAAACTTTATTGTAAATGGTAATAATGGCATTAATGTCTTATCTGATTGCACAGGAGGCCGGAAGCCCTGCAAAGGACAGATTTCATAGACTATCAGAAGAAATAGATCTCGACGAGAGATGGTTTCCACTTCTGGATTACTTGAGTACTTTTGGACTTAAGGAATCACACTTTATCCAAATGTATGAGAGGCATATGCCCTCCCTTCAGATAAATGTGGGTTCTGCACGGGAAAGGTTGGAGTTCTTGCTGGGTATTGGTGTCAAGCATAGAGACATTAGAAAAATACTTATGAGGCAGCCACAAATTTTAGAGTATACTGTTGAGAACAATCTGAAATCCCATGTCACATTTTTGGCAAGTTTGGGTATTCCAGAGTCCAGAATAGGGCAGATAATTACTGCCACTCCATCCCTGTTTTCTTATAGTGTGGAGAACTCATTAAAGCCCACGGTAAGATACCTGCTTGAGGAAGTTGGCATTAAGAAAGACGAACTTAGTAAAGTTGTGCAGCTAAGCCCTCAAATCCTGGTTCAGCGGATTGACAGTTCATGGAACACACGTTTCAGTTTTCTTACAAAGGAATTGGGAGCGCCCAGAAGTAGTGTAGTGAAGATGGTTACAAAACACCCCCAACTTCTTCACTACAGCATTGAGGACGGATTACTGCCGAGGATAAATTTTCTAAGGAGCACTGGGATGAGCAATTCTGACATATTGAAAGTATTGACTAGCCTTGCACAGGTATCCTTGCTGTCCCTTACAAAATATACTTATACATCACTGGGCTTTCTTGAGCTACCATTTTGTTGAAGTTTTCATTAATTGTCTCTTCTCATGCATAGCTTCTTTTCGCTTGAAAAGTCATGATAGACTTCAACAATCCTAATAGTTTTTTCCATAAAAGAACTTCATGAGTAGACAGGACATGTCAATTATTTGAATGTTGTCCACTATTTAAGTGACGTTGTCCTTACTCGCAGGTATTTTCTCTGTCACTTGAGGGGAATCTGAAGCCTAAGTACATGTACTTGACCAATGAACTACGAAATGAGGTGCAATCCTTGGCCAAATATCCTATGTACCTAAGCTTGTCTCTAGACCAGAGAATTCGTCCCCGGCATAGGTTTTTGGTTGCCCTAAAGAAAGCTCCAAAGGGACCATTTCCTTTGAGTTCATTTGTTCCAACTGATGAATGCTTTTGTCAGCAATGGGCAGGGACTAGCTTAGATAAATATCTAGCGTTTCGACAGAGATTACTACTCAAGGAGTTTGCAAAGAAATATGAAAAAAAGTAATGAGCATCAAGTTAATTCAGAGTGTTCCCCCGAGCAATGGACTAGCTGAATTTTCTCTCCTGCAAATCCAGTGCCTAATACTGTTCTTACGTGTGGAAGTATTCAGGAGCGTATTAGAGTGAAGGTCAGATGTTTATATCCATATGAACTCCTGGTGAGCAAGCTTCCGAGTTGCCATCTTTTTTCCAAAAAAATTGGTTCATTTTTCATAGTTAGTTTTTATTTACCGACACAAGTATTTTATAAGTTTTACTTATGACCTGTCCCAGGAACTGGTCCAGTTTTGTTTCCACTATAAGAATGTAGATTTTCAGCATACAGAATAGATGCGGTTTTCCCATATGGCGTCATCGCGAAAACCGTATTTTCAATTAGGTTCTGTTTATCCTATTGTGATACCATCAGGGCACTATCCCTGGTGCAAATCATTAGCGACAGGCGCTAGGACTCGGACCTCGTGAACATTTCTTCATTAACATGAAGTGTAATTTGCTCGGTTTTTTGGGGATCCCTTGGATTGGTAGCAGTAAAATTCTTATCAAGTTTGTGCTAGAAGTTATTCAGATGAACCCAATTGGATACAATGAACCTACATGGTACTTGGCCTCCGTTAGTGCGATTTGTAACTTTCCTCTGTTTACTTTGCCACAATATGGGCAGCTTCAACTTCTTGCTTCAAATGCTTCAGCGTTCCTCTTCATCACTCCGGTCAACCCTAGGATTCATCCACGTCACNCTTACTTTGCCACAACATGGGCAGCTTCAACTTCTTGCTTAATGCTTCAGCGTTCCTCTTCATCACTCCGGTCAACCCTAGGATTCATCCACGTCACTGTTCATAACTACCATCACCTAGCCAACCCCTAGCCCCGACCAACCATCACCGAAGCCACCATGCAAATCTCCAAAACCAAAGTGCTAATACATTTCAAATCACCAAACACGAGTGAGAGCTTGTGTGCATGTGTTTGGTCTAGAGAGAGACTGCGTGGTGTCTGTCTGTGTGAGGATCTCAAACATAGACAGTGGGTCTGATGGAGTGCGTTGATTGAAGGGTGGACTGGCTGGTTTGGGTGGCAGAACTGAGAGTGAGTGAAGGAGGGAAGGACGGAGGTGAGGGGTAGATTCATTCACACAACTATGCAAATAATAAAGGGGATACCCAATGTAAAAAGCTCCTGCGATTACGGGATTTGACAAGAGAGGGTTAGATGTACGTAATTTTACTCTTACAAATAGAGATTATTTCTATGACTCGAACCTATGACCTATAAGTCACAACTACGCAAATAATACTGAAAGAAATTTATTGAGGGTTCGTTTGTTTAGCGAGAGAACGGTACAAAATACAAGAAAGATAAACTTTTTAAAATTTGCATACGTTTGGTTAGCAAGAAAAAGAAAATAATAGAAAAAATAATTTTTTTTCATCTTTGAATTTTCTCACAAATAACTAATTTTTTTTTTATAAAAAATGCAAAAAACTTGTGATTCATAACTATCTTCTCATTTTACCCTTATTTTTCTTAAAATATGTTATTTGTTATTAATTTTAAAAAATTTTGGTATGAATTTAATTAATCACATAAGTTGACCCAAAGACCTTTGCGTTGATGATTGTCTTAGAATTAAGTTTCGAGTCATTTTTTTAAAACTTTTTAACTTTCAATTGTAATTACATATATTTTTTTCTTTTTTAGACCAATTTAATATAATTAAGAGTAATTTAGATAATTATAAAAAAATTCTTATAACTTTACTTTCTTTCAAACAATAGAATGAAATTATTTTAAAACTTTCCTACAAATTTTTCATTCTAACAAAATATATGCATGAAAATATATTTTTTATCATTTTCTTTTCTTTCACTTTTCTTTCTATCATTTTCACTTTTTATCATTTTTTTCTTCCTAACCAAACACAGACCGTACAATATCACTTCTTTGCATCAAGAGAAGATTATTAACAAGAACCCACTTCAACAAGTTAGCAGTATAAGATGCTACTCACCCTCTGACTGAAGTAATTTTCATTTATTGCTTGGAGTTAACAAAGATTGTCAAGATATTTTCACTCCCTGAAACCATGCATCTGTATATTCCTTTCATCATCTACCCCTATTTTACTCTGTTCTAAAGAGTCAGAACTTCTGCCTTCTCTCTGTAATTAACATCAAATATAAAAAACTGTAGAACCTTCTTATGTGTAGTACTATTTCTCTGTCCTATTCTTCTTTCCTAACTCCTTCAACCCAAGTGATGGGGAGAATACTCTGCTGATGATTCTTCTTCCTTTGCAAGTATGTACTTTCAGGGAACATCGACTGACTAACGAACGAGTTGCAAAAAGGGGAAAGGGGAAAGCGGAAAAATAACTGTAGTTGTCAAACCTATGATTTTTGCCCTTGAAAATTGGCACACTCTATGAGCTCTGTAATTTCTGTGTTCCTGAATCTATACGATTGTAGAAATGCTGTCTGCAACTGGAGATGCAAAAGGGCTATCTGGGAGATTATGTCCTTGACCCCTGTGAGGTTAAAACATAATGATAAAACCATTCAGTAAAGACACCGTGATTATTATGAAAACAAAATTCAGTAGTCTGCGTCCTAAAACAAAACAAGCTACCAATGATACAAAGAGGCATGAATTAAGCATGTTTTAATGTGAACGAATCATTTATTTATATTTTAGTTCAACTTTCTTCAAGAACACAGGAGAGAAACAGGAGGGGGATGGGGGGCTTTAGCCTGGAATTGTATGTTTTATCATTGGCCGCCAGAGCAACAAGNGTTAATGTGAACGAATCATTTATTTATATTTTAGTTCAACTTTCTTCAAGAACACAGGAGGGGGATGGGGGGCTTTAGCCTGGAATTGTATGTTTTATCATTGGCCGCCAGAGCAACAAGAAACGTTAGTTCGATCACCTGAGTAAAAAAACCTAGGATTTAAATGGCAAGGAACAGGAGGGAAAAAATGATATCATTGCATCCATGAAAGGATAAGATTAAAGAGGCTCATAGCAAAAAAAAATTCATACCTCTCCAGGTCCGAATGATTAATGTCAGTATGATGTATGTCATAATCACTTGCTGAATCACTGTTCAAAGCATTTAGCAGATATCCAAGACGTTTTGCTGATGGGAACTTGGAATGGCCTGCAAAACCTGGTGGTTTGAGTAAGAATGAAAGAAACAGGTGCAACAAATGCAATCACGGAGAAGCATATCAAAGATGAAAACTGCATGCACATAATATATGAAAGAAAGCATAATAGACCTTCAGAAACTTTCAGCTCATCCATGGAGGACTGAAAACAGGAATGATTGGCCAGTGATTTTTGTGCTAACTGCAGCTCTGACAGACGCCTTCTCTCAAGGTCAAGGACATGTTCATGCTCTTCCATTAGCTGCTTCCTGAGCAATCTTGATGATTCCCAACCTGTTGGCACAAGAAAAATGTTAGACAACATAGACGTGCATAAAATTACATCAGTTGGATGCACAGAAGGGCATGGTTCAAAAATTTCACAGTTACAGATACATATATACATACTGAGTAGGAGGTTCTGATTGCAGCATTAATAAATAAAAAAATAGGTTTTATGAAGCAAAACTTAGATTTCAGGAATCCATCCGAGAACACCCTTGTGGATCACTCCATAGCTTTCATTACATCTTCGAATGTTTCTGATAATTAGAAAGTAAGATGATGCAATTGCGTTGGACTTTCCAACAATAAAAAACAGTTGCCACTTCCACACTTATTGCATAGCTTTTGCTGCAAATTACAGGATATATAAGTAATCAGTTTACACTAAAGAAACACATAAATTTGACATACTTGCGTGAAGCTCACAATCCATGTCTAGATGGTGCGAATGGTAAAGCATTGGAGAATCAAGTTTCTCACAGTACTTCCTGCGATAAATAGAAAAGCATGTGTGAGGGAGAGATGCAGTATTATTAGAACTATAAATGAAAACCTATTTTGAACTTCTAGGAACCTTAGACCAGCTTAAATATTTTAACCCGACACTTCCATTCAGACAACAGAATACAAGTTGAGAACCAGTTTGGTGTTTGCGAATCACCAATGTCCTATTAGTACTTACAAAGACAGGGAACAGCATACTACATAGTCTCAAGTATTGATAAAGAAGTAAAATTTCCACAATTACATGCAAGAAACTCAACATTTCAAGCTCCATTTCCAAACAATACAGGGTCTATCAATGTCACACACCAAGAATTTAATCTCCAAATTTTCAGAGATTTATCAAGATGGGATCATGATCATCAAATCCTTAGAAGGAATAGAAACCAGATATAGAGATAGCTTTCACCAGAACAGAAAATGAAAAGGAAATATTACCGGTCAACGAGCTTTGATTTTTCCCTATATGGTTTCACAAGAACACGAGATCCACGTATATAGTGTGGATTTCCCTTTGACAAAATCATCCTCACAGTATCTGCACTCACAAATGTTACAAAACCAAACATCCGTTTCTGCTGACAGGGAATCCTTACATCTTCAACTGTCCCAAAGGTGCCACTACGAACACATCCCAAAACAACAACAAAGAAAAATTAGAACGCCCAACTTGAGCTGCAAGAAAACTGCATGTCAGAATTTTGAGATAGAATTACTTGAAGTAGTCAGTGACATCGTCCTCGGTAAAAGTGCTCTCTGCAGGAAAAGTTAGATAAATCTGTCGAGAACCACTAACAATTGGACCGGGGTAATTCCTTTCACACTGGGAATCCATGTACTTTGGCACATCTTCCACCAAAATCACTGAGTGCTGCCCATGAGGTCTGTAATGCAGCCATTAATCAATTTACCTGTAATTTGTGGACAAAACAATAACGAATAACGAGATAGCAAACATGGAAAAAGATCAAAATCATACCTGTCAATCACCCGAATGCTGTTTTCCAATCGAGCAAGAAGCCTTGTCAAACTAAAACCAGCTTTACCATGTCTCTGACTCTC